TTTGTCTGAATATAACTTGATAAACATTCACACTAGGCACATTATAACATATAATTTTTGCCTATTCATCCTGAATTTAATTTTCAATAGCACCTGCGTTATAGAAATTGTAATAGAACACCTAATTCAATTACGAACTAAATCAGACGTGGACTTGAAAGCTCCAAGAAATGTTGCACAAGATCTGTACCGGACAGTAATGACGATTGCTGTTGGATCAATTACAGAACAGGATATGAATGCTGTTGTATGCCCAGAATGTGGGATATACCCCGAAATAACTTACAGGGAGCATATACAAAAACTTACAAATGTTTACTGAATAAAAGTTTTTTATTAAAGATAAATTTTGCAAGAAATTAAATTGTGAATAGTCTGATTAAAATTAAATTCATGTTTGATTAATAGTAATTATGCAATTATATGTTGCATGAATAAGATGAAAATGGTTTAAAAATATACTATTACAAATTTGCATTGAATCCATACAGGATATTTCAACTACAGTATCTTCTGTCTGGATGAAATGATAAAAATTCATGATTTTTTGTATTATTAACGTATTTCAGTATGATTTTAAACCCATTTTCTACCATAATGCCGCGATTAAAATTATTATTGAGCAAACATGAATAAATATTTGTTACAAGTTAATGGGGACCTCAGCCATTTTATAGCGTATGGATCAGATATATATGGATCAGATAGCGTATGGATCGGATAGCGTATGGATCAGATAGCATATGGATCGGATAGCATATGGATCAGATAGGGTATGGATCGGATAGCGTATGGATCTGATAGCGTATGGATCAGATAGCATATGGATCTGATAGCGTATGGATCAGATAGCGTATGGATCAGATAGCGTATGGATCAGATAGCATATGGATCGGATAGCATATGGATTGGATAGCGTATGGATCAGATAGCGTATAGATCGGATAGCGTATGGATCTGATAGCATATGGATTGGATAGTATATGGATCTGATAGCGTATGGATCAGATAGCGTATGGATCGGATAGCGTATGGATCAGATAGCATATGGATTGGATAGCTTATGGATTCGATAGCATATGGATGCGAGAGTGTATGAACTAGATACATTATCAAAGGAATTGGACCTGAATTTGGCTGAGGATATCGGAAAACCTATTAGCAATCACTGGGTCTTAATAAAGAATGGACAAATTCAAACAGACGTAAACAACATTTTTAAGGAGTAGAATATTTAGTGGGGACTGTATTTTGGCTGAGGACATCGGAAAACCTAATAACAATCACTGGGTCTTAATTTCAACAATGAGTTAGAACATGGACAATTTCAAACAGACATGTATAGAACATTGTCAGTGTGGGACCGTATTTTGGCTGAGGACATAGGAAAACCGCATTAAAAATTCAAAATCCAATTGAATTTTGCCTTAGGGGCTGAGAATCAGCTCACAGTGGTCCAATCATATCAAGTTTCAATTAAATTGTCATTTTCTGTATTTCTGTACTTGGTAAATGAGCTGTTTGAATCAGTGGGCCCCTAGGAGGCTGTTATTAACAAGATCCTACGTGTTTAGCACGTTATTTTACATGTTCATTACATCATTTGGCTTGCAGGGTAAAATTTCACATGGTTAGTGTGATTTTTAAAAGTCTGTCAACAAATTATGGGGGTATGAGAAATGGTTGAAAGAGGTCCTATTATTTCAAATTTCAGTTAAATCGCCATTTTCTGTATTTCTCGGTCGAAAATATTTATTTTCGAAAAAAAATAATTTTACTAAAATCTCAATATCCATTTCGTTTTTCAAGTTATTGCCATTTCGTTTTTTGCACTGCATTGTCCATGTCTCAGAGCATCTTTTCCATGCTTTTAAACGTTTCTGCTATGCTTAGTTTGGTCGCGACAGGCCAAATAATGTCGAAAATATGGCTTTTTTCGCGTATTTTCATCAAAATCGACCAAAGTAATTTTTTTAAAAAATTTTTAATTATGCCTTCCGACGCCCTAGAAAAACTTTAAAGGCCATTAAAGATAGCAGGAGATCTTGGAGAATACGATTCCAGCTTTTAAAACATCAAAATCTACCTCCAAGTGATGAAAAAATGACAAAGTGTCTAAAATATTTTTCCGAAAAACTCGATTTTTCACAATTTTGTTCACGGAAACGCCCATAACGCGGTCATTTTTCAATATTTTTTCAATCCGATTTTTCTAGTGCATTCTACACGCCGATGTGCACCTTTAATAGGGCGCTAAAGTTATTTGCCGCTTTTAGTTTTGATGATATGAAAAAAAGAAAAAATATTTTTGTTCAAAACGGCTTTTTTTCAGCCAATTATTAAGCCGCCCTGCCTTCAATAATCATTTTACACACTTACTTTATCTCTTAAAATCACTTGCATTTGTTCTTGTGATTCCAACAGTATTTTTAAATTTACTCTATCACGTCTACAGCCTGTGTTACGACCTAAACAATTTTTTCACGCAATTTTCTCCATTTTCTCGGATAAATTTAAATTGAAATTTGAAATATTGGCAGAAAATCCTCGAAATGGATAAATCTGCACTGTTTCTCGAATACTATGTAAAACTATTAGAATAGTTTTGCTTCGCAAAACATATCCTTAATAGTTTTCCTTGACAAGTTAATGGGGACCTCAGCCGTATAGTATAATGTATGGATCGGATAGCGTATGGATTGGATAGCGTATGGATCAATTAATGTATGGATCAGATAGCGTATGGATCAGATAGCAAATGGATCGGATAGCGTATGGATTGGATAGCATATGGATCGGATGGCGTATGGATCAGATAGTGTATGGATCGGATAGCATATGGATTGGATAGCGTATAGATCNCGTATGGATCAGATAGCAAATGGATCGGATAGCGTATGGATTGGATAGCATATGGATCGGATAGTGTATGGATCAGATAGCATATGGATCGGATAGCATATGGATCGGATAGCATATGGATCAGATAGCGTATGGATTGGATAGCATTCGGATCAGATAGCGTATGGATCAGATAGCGCATGGATCAGATAGCGTATGGATCAGATAGCGTATGGATCAGATAGTGTATGGATCAACTAGTGTATGGATCAGATAGCGTATGGATCAGATAGCATATAGATTGGATAGCTTATGGATCAGATAGCGTATAGATTGAATAGAGTTTGAATAGAGTATGGATCAGGTAGCGTATGGATCAGATAGTGTATGGATCAGATAGGGCATGGATTGGATAGCATATATGGATAGATAGCTTATGGATTTGATAGCATATGGAAGGGAGAGTGTATGAACCAGTATACATTATCAAAGGAACTTGACCTGAATTTGGCTGAGGATATCGGAAAACCTATTAACAATCACTGGGTCTTAATAAAGAATGGACAAATTCAAACAGACATAAACAACATTTTTAAGGAGTAGAATATTTAGTGGGGGATCGTATTTTGGCTGAGGACATCGGAAAACCTAATAACAATCACTGGGTCTTAATTTCAACAATGAGTTAGAACATGGACAATTTCAAACATGACACGTATAGAACATTGCCAGTGTGGGTCCGTATTTTGGCTGAGGACATCGGAAAACCTAATAACAATCACTGGGTCTTAATTTCAGCAATGACTTAGAACATGGACAATTTCAAACAAACCTATAGAACATTGTCAGTGTGGGACCGTAATTGAAAGATTGAATAATGAATGGAAGAAAAGAACAAATGGAACAGATAACCAATTGATGAGATAACTAATGTACTTGGTAAATGAGCTGTTTGAATCAGTGGGCCTGTGGGAGGCTGTTATTAACAAGATTGTATTGGTTTAGCACGTTATTTTACGTTATTTTTACATCATTTGGCTTGCAGGGTAAAATTTCACATGGTTAGTTTAATTTTTAATATTGTTTTATTTTAAGTTAAAAAAAAGTCTGTCAACCAATTATGGGGGTATGAGAAATGGTTGAAAGAGGTCCTATTATTTCAAATTTCAGTTAAATTGTCATTTTCTGTATTTCTCGGTAGAAATATTTATTTTCGAAAAAAAATAATTTTACTAAAATCTCAATATCCATTTCGTTTTTCAAGTTATTGCCGTTTCGTTTTTTGCACTGCATTGTCCATGTCTCAGAGCATCTTTTCCATGCTTTTAAACGTTTCTGCTATGCCTAGTTTGGTCGTGGCACCCCAAAGATTGTCAAAAAAATGGTCTTTTTCGCGTATTTTCGTCAAAATCGACCAAAGTTATTTTTTAAAAAAATTTTTAATTATGCCTTCCGACGCCCTAGAAAAACTTTAAAGGCCATTAAAGATAGCAGGAGATCTTGGAGAATACGATTCCAGCTTTTAAAACATCAAAATCGACCTCCAAGTGATGAAAAAATGACAAAGTGTCTAAAATATTTTTCCGAAAAACTTGATTTTTCACAATTTTTTTCACGGAAACGCCTATAACTCGGTCATTTTTAAATATTTTTTAAATCTTTTTTTTCTAGTGCATTCTACACGCCAATGTGCATCTTTATTTGGGCGCTATAGTTATTTGCCGCTTTTACTTTTGATGGGATGAAAAAAATAAAAAATATTTTTGGTCAAAACGGCTTTTTTTCAGCCAATTATTAAGCCGCCCTGCCTTTAATAATCATTTTACACACTTGCTTTATCNCAACAGTATCTATAAAATTACTCTATCATGCCTACAGCCTGTGTTACGGCCTAAACAATTTTTTCACGCAATTTTCTCCATTTTCTCTGATAAATTTAAATTGAAAGTTGAAATATTGGCAGAAAATCCACGAAATGAATAAATTTGCACTGTTTCTCGAATACTATGTAAAACTATTAGAATAGTTTTGCTTCGCAAAACTTATCCTTGATAGTTTTCCTTGATAAATGACAATGCATATCATGTTATTTGAATTTTTTCTTTATTTTTATTCTCTATTTATATTATTATTATGTTTATTGTAATTAACATTATAAAAGAACAACCCTGCATTTAATGGAAATAAATATGTGTATTTAATATGTGAATTATTTTAATGATCAAAACAAATGAATTAATGTGAATGAGTGACCTTATATTATCCAATGTTTGTAAATGTTTCTTAGTTTCTGGATCCAGGTCGATATGGTGATCCAGCTCCATGCTTTTAGACTGGTCTGGACCAAGCTCAAGGTTAGGCATATTACCAGAGGTTAGGCTTAGGCAGGGCATGTCAGGCCCCACCTCGATACAAGGCATAATACCCTGGGGATTCTCTAGAACTGATAAACTAAGTTGACCTAAAAAAAGATTTCGTTTTGAAAAAGAAAGAGATATTTTGCAATGTAGATTGTAGAATGTAGATCAATAAGACAATTTTGTTAAAAACTGGTAATTGTTTGCTATTTCAACTGTCCTATTAGCAGCAATGGAGAAAGAAGCGAACCTTACACAGGGGGGGGGCTATGGGGACTCAGCCCCCCTTGTATGGTTTCCAGAGGGTTTTCATGCCCCAACGGGAAAGAAAAAAGATGTAACCCCCTGGAAAAATACCTGTGTACGCCCCTGAATGAAGATAATTGAAATTCTTAATTAATAACATCAAAAAATTGACCTGACGAGGTAGAAAAGTTTATATTTGGGAGAGCTGAGTTAGGTTCCTGGTTTTCTACTTCAGAGGCGCCATGTCGTCGCTTTCTTGTCTTCAGATCAGATATAGACTGGATAAAGTAAGGATTAGTTTTTAAAACAGAATGATCAAAAAATATTTTTTCCATAATAAAAAAAATCAAGCATTTCTGTTTCTCTTAGGGAACAATCTTTAAATATGTGAATTGTGAATATTTAGATGAGCTGCTTGAATAACAACACTGAGCTTACCTGGTTGTGATATTCCTTACAATGAATCCCAAAATCATCAATAGATATAAACTCACGCGAACATGAACCACAAACATATACACTCGAATCCTATAAGTAAACAATTGATAATTTCATATTGCGTAATCTGCCGATTTCTGAAACCTAAAAGGTGCGTTTGTCCAATTTTTGTTGTTGTTATCTACTCATTTTCTGTCTCCTTATCACTCATGTACCTCCTGAGTCTTGAATCACAAAATTGATATGCTTCTGACACAGTTTTAACAATCTATATATATACTTTGCTTGTCTGCTTATTTGTTTAATTCTTTGTAACAAATAAACGTAAAAACGGCAAAACCGAAACTGTCTAACATTTTTTGTGGGACCCCAGGGAACGTTTATGGATGGTCAGAATTAACATCGAGGAATGGGGCGTGTTTCAGCACTCCTAAATATCCAGAAAACTATCTTAAAAAGTTCAATTTTTTAAATCCACGATTAAGTCGATAAAGTTGATAAAGTACAATAATTAAAAGTTAAAATGGAAGCCAAGTATCCAATAATCCATTTACTACATACTTCAAAAATGATTTATTTTCATCTATATTTTTTGTCCACCTTGAACTCCGTAACGGTCTCCTCAATCTTCTCCTTCTTCTTGGACTCCTCCTCCAACTTATGCCACCTGCTGTGGTTCCTCAGCTTGTATTCAAACGCAAAACTTTTATTGCACAGATTACAGGGATACTTCTTTGGTTCATTATGATGGCTGGACATGTGGTTCTTCAGATTACTACGGTGCCTGAACATTAAATAGTTACAAGGTTTGAACATGATGTTACGTCAACGTGCAGTGCACACTGCAAATTAGACAGAAGGATAAGGTAAATCTAATGCGACATTACTGGTAAAACTGTGTGACCTTGCAGCTCAATAGCTCTTTAATAAAAAAGTTATGAGTAAAATTGATAAGATTTCTATCCTACGTTAAATTTACTTTAGTTTGACGTGTGTATCAAATGTAACAAAAAAAAAAAATATGGATAATATTCCTACGAAAATTAAAAATATATATTAAAAAATTATAATTTACAGAAAACGTCTAACATCATCTCCGTTTTGATTCAGCAAAAACAAACAGTGTTAAAACATACATGATGAACACATCCAAGTTTTGAAAAGTTGACCAATGTAAAATTATTAATATATGTACTATGTTATAGTAGTGTACCTGAAAGTTTGATCACATTCTGGGATCGGACACTTGAACTTAGCATAGTCCAGATGTATCCACGAGTGCTCCTACAATTAATATGAACGTTTTTTATACATCTTATCTTTATTAGTTAATGTCAAAATTCGGCAAGTAAACTCCGGATATTTAAAATTTTTGAAAGATTCTAAAAAACTCTAAAATAGTTACCATGGAACATAGCATAACAAAACCAGGATGTACTTTGATAAATTATCTGACCACGTATAATCACACATTAAACAAATATTACCTTTAAACGCGTAGAATCTACAAATTCTGCATTGCACTGATCACAAAAGAATGATTTAATACCAAAGTGAGATCTGAAATAATCAAAAACATTAGCGATACAAATTATATTTATTTATCAAAAAAACTGTCACGTGAAGTTGTGTATTGAGTATTTAAACCATGTCCTAATGGACTAGAATGAATTCTAAAGGAATTGAGTCTTTGACACAAACCCACACTTTCGAAGCCCTATATATTTGCAACCTGATTAGATTATTTAACTAACAGAATTTATTGTTTGAAATATCTTAAAAGTCTACGACAATGGGTTGCAAAGATATGGGGATAAAAAATCAAAGTTAGTGACAAAGATTAAATTTTTTACTATATATATATATAGTGAAAAAAAGAAAAAGGAATATTTTAATATTCTCATGAAACTTGAAATATAAACTAAATTAAAAACTGTCTTGCAAACTAAAATAAGACCTGATATGTCTGGCCAGGTTGGATTGTTTGCTGAAGGATTTAGAGCACTGAACACAGGAAAAAGTTTTGTTAAATTTTCCTGAAAATATCATTTATTTTTTTTATCAAAAATACATGGCAACAATATGATATTTGCTACTCATCTCAAGTCTGAACTTTTAAAAGAAATATTTTTTAATAGATAAATACTAAATAGTTGATATTTTCCTGCTTCATGATGAGCTTCGTGAAGCTGCAAGGCCGACTCCTTAAAAAAAATAATAACCTGTAAAAATGTTCCAAGTAAAAAAAACTAATTAATGTCTTACCTTAATGAACGTTTTATCACAGAATTGACATTTTTTGCTTCCAAACTCTGCTGCGGTGTGGCTCCTTCTGTGACTTGATAACTGAAGTGTAAAGATATGAAGATTTTTTTTCCCAGTAAAAATTTCACAATTTTTTTAAAAATTAAACGTTTTTGGCTGATAGAAACGGTAAACACCACAGACAAACATATACGGTTGAAATTTTCACGTTATCAATAAGGATAAAATGTTCATAATAAAGTTAGGCATTGTTATTATCAGCTTTTTAAACAATCGTGATTATTTGGACCGAAAATCTGAGAACTTTTTGTTGTTGTTCAGATAATACACTTGGAAAAAATAAAATGGCGCAGAATTATTTCTGAAATGTATTGGAAGTTTAATTCTTTTTTATATTGAACTATGCAAAATCTTGACTCTAAACGATTTTTCAAATTGTTTGGTAACGTCGATTGATTTGTTTCTTCTGTCAGAGTCAACATTTTTTGCATAATTTCTTATAAGGAAACTTTTAATTACGTAAGACTTTGTAGATGTTGTAAAACTTCCTTAAATCCAAAAATCCTAGAATATCTTTGAAAAAAGGAAACTGATGATTAGAGAAAGACAGACGAGCCTGAAAATAAGATAGACAGACAAACATGATAATTAGATAGACAGACGAACCTGATAATTAGATAGACAGACAACATGATAATTAGATAGACAGACAAACCTGATAATTAGATAGACAGACGAACCTGATAATTAGATAGACAGACAAATCTGATAATTAGATAGACAGACGAACCTGATAATTAGATAGACAGACGAACCTAATAATTAGATAGACAGACGAACCTGAGAATTAGATAGACAGACGAACCTGATAATTAGATAGACAGACGAACTCGCATAATCTACAAGTTCTAAACCAGGGAGACTCCGGATGCAGTTGAACATGAACTTCAAGATCAGATCTAATGAAAAAAAAAACTATACATTTTCTCGCATATTTCATTCCGGCATTATTACGTATTAGAGAGAAGGGTGTTACAATTGGTCAAAAATTCTGAAAAGTTTTCATAAAAGTAAAATAAAAATAATTTTTAAAATGCAAAAAAAATCTTTTGCACAGCATTTCATTGTTATTGTATAATTTGAAACTTAAAAAAGATTAGACATTGTTCACCATAAGCACATTCCCAACTTAAAAATATTTATATTTATCAATTATTAATAACGTGTACTGTGTAAAGATCGAAACTTTTGTGTGAACATTGTTAATTTTAAATACTTGATTTTCGTATCCAATGTGGTCACTTTTAAATTTAAAGATCAATGCATAATTCCCGAATTAAAGTTATCTCTACACGGAATGATCATCAGGGAATATCGAATAAGAATTGAATTAATTCTACGTCTACAAACGATGGAGATCAATACCTAATCCCGTGATTCACAACGCAAAAGTTCTGACTAGAGGCTGCAGTTTACAATTTAAAAGTATGACCTGGTATGCAGGTTCTCCTGACAATCCATACAAGCATACTCCAGCTCAGGATGCTTCTGCTTCATGTGCTTAGCCATTATAGTCACGTTTATCTAGATAGTTATTCTTAGCCATTAAAGTAAGGTTTATCTAGATAGTTATACTAAGCCATTATAGTCAGGTTTATCTAGATAGTTATACTAAGCCATTATAGTCAGGTTTATCTAGATAGTTATTCTTAGCCATTAAAGTCAGGTTTATCTAGATAGTTATTCTTAGCCATTAAAGTCAGGTTTATCTAGATAGCTATTCTTAGCCATTAAAGCCAGGTTTATCTTGATAGTTATACTAAGCCATTATAGTCAGATTTATCTAGATATTTAATATTTAATCTAAATAGTTGTTCTTAGCCATTATAGTCAGGTTTATCTAGATAAGTATTCTTAGCCATCATAGTCAGGTTTATCTAGATAAGTATTCTTAGCCATCATAGTCAGGTTTATCTAGACATTTATTCTCAGCCATTATAATATAATATAAATAAGTATTCTAAGCCATTATAGTCAGGTTTATATAGATAAATATTTTTAGACATAAAAGTCAGGTTTATCTAGATAGTTATACTAAGCCATTATAGTCAGGTTTATCTAGATAGTTATTCTTAGACCTTATGGTCAGGTTTAAATAGATAAATAATCTTAGCCATTATAGTCAGGTTTATCTAGATAAATATTCTTAGCTATTATAGTCAGGTTTATATAGATAAATATTCTTAGCCATTATAGTCAGGTTTATCTAGATAGTTATTCTTAGCCATTATAGTCAGGTTTATATAGATAAATATTCTTAGCTATTATAGTCAGGTGTAAATAGATAGATGTCTTGCAATCGTTAATTATCAGGTTTTAGGCATTAAAGTCAGTTTCGTCTAATAAGTAAATATTTTCCAATTCTTATCCTTTACAGTCATGAACAGGTGAATAATCAGATGAAAATTTAACTGAAGATTTAAAACTTCTTACCCTACTATCACAAAAAGGACAATCTCGTTCTATTGCCAATTTTTTCTTTTCCTCCTCCTTCCATTCCTAGAATTCAAAATAATATTGGTTGATTAATTCAGATATATTTGACAAGTTTTATATTGGTCACTTGTCAGTCTGAGTCTGCATAAAACTTTTATTACCAATCGGTAAATAAATATACAGGGTGAGTCAAAAAACGTGTGATTTGTGTGTCGTCTTGTGCCAAACTGTCCTTTATTCATGTGAGTTGAAAAAAATGAAAACAATATTCAAAAACACTATGTATTTTTTAGTTTGAAAAAGACGACCCTTATCACATTTTTTGGTGACTCCCTTTATATAAATAATAATATTATTGTAATTGGATAAATTACTAAGTAAACAGTGTAATGGACGATGAACAAAAGATTACCCTTTAAAAAATTTCTGATTTGTGTAAATGTCGTCGTAATGCTGTTTTCAATTAATTTTGGAATTCTTTGAAAAAAGGATTCCTTATTATGCACCCTGGACTAAACAGGGCGAGATGCAATCGGTTTCTTCAATTTTTATTCAACCGCGTATTAGTATTTATAATGAAAACGCATCCAACGACAAGAAATATAGAAGAGAAAACGCTAAAAAAGTATGCTTAACAGGTCAAATTGTGACCGACAGCCACAGCTTGTAGTAGATTACTAGATTCTAACAACGAAAATTATACAAGTGTTTATCTAAGATTAAACTAAATGATACATGGCAAACTCATTTAAGTATTAATATAATTATATAATACTAGTATTAATAGTTTTCCGGTTTGATATGTGCCATCTGAGTATTAAATATGTTGTGTAAAATTTTATTGTTACAACTGGACCAAACTTAATTCTGTAAATCATATAGCTGATCTTTATATTTCGCCTAGTATTAAGCTCTTTTATTAAACAAATCATCTATATAATTCCATTTTACAATCTTTGTAAGTTGTGCCATTTATTAATTCAGATTCAAGCTTGTTGTAACAAGGACAAAACTGTTAAATCAGCGCGCATTATGTTGCCCTTTAAATTAATTGGAAATTACAAAAAAATAGCAATCATTTCATTTCATTTCTTATCATAAGCATTTAAGAAATGCTTATGATAAGAAAAGAATTTATTTAAAAACAAAAAAGATAAAAATAAAATATTCATAGATGTCAACTATAAATACATATAAAGGTTACCTTGTCTGAAGCAGCTCGTTCAGCGGTTTCTTTAATTACTTTTTTAGATTTAATAATTTCCTGTGAAAATATTTCATATTTGTTTATGATAAATGCATGAGTAATAAAAACGCACTTCATGGAAAACAGCCAACTATTGTAAATCTCGGGAAATTGACGCAATTTACAATGGGCAAAATTTACTCTTTTAAAGTTTATAAAAATTTTACAAGCTTTATTGAAAAAAATAAATCGCAACAAAACTGTAAAAACATAGATATTGAGAAAATAATATAATGTGAAGAATATGAATACTTTCTCCTTCCTTATGAATTTCTAATGTTGGTGTTGCTGATGAATCAACTTCAAGATATTTACCAACCTTACTGTTAACAGTCATTCATAAGTAAAGGTTGGAAAACAAATATATGTGTAATGTTAGAAAATACAAGGCAAGCTAACTCCCCTCCCCCCTCCCCCCCTTCACAGCATGAAGCATGAACAGGGGATAGGGAGGGGGCCTTAAAAGCGAAAATAAGGTTTGCCATCTAAACAAATTTCTTCTTGTGTTATTTTTCACCATTAATTTAATTTTTAGGAATCAAATTGTTCAGAGGCAATCATCCGTGTAAGCCATAACAGCAGATTTTCCAGTGGGAGACTCATGCCCCACTCCCCACTCCCCGCTACCATGTTAAAAATTACAAAAATCGATTTTCTTACTAAAAGTAAATTGGGGATACATAAAATGATAAATATCTATAACAGTTGTTATCTCTGTTTGTATTGACCGATTATGCTCATTAACACCTGGACTGATTTGCCTCAAATTTGTATTGGGGAACTCGGTAGAATCAAGGAAATGGTGTTATCTCGGTTGAAAACTCTCAAGTGGAGTTAATTAAATCTTTAAACGAAAGTTTATTTATCCAGGCAAGGCTGGGTTCCCATGCTAGTTTATGGATAAAATTGTAAAATAAATGACTTTTTCCTAATTGTAGAAACATCCTCCGCAGAGAAAAAGTTCTTAATGTTTACAGACAACAGATACTTTAGAAACAGTAAGATTTCACCTATACAATATCGTATTCAATAAATTTATTATAATAATAATAATAATAATAATCGCTGTCAAACAAACAAGTTATTATCGATTTTTCAGACCTTTAAATCTTTTTATGAAGAGAACCCTATAAAGAGATGTTGCAGCATTCATGGCCCCATGGTTGCGAACACCAGAAATAGGCGATCATTAGTTGCATGGCATCAATACGGGGACTTATTAAGAAATAATTTGAAATATAAACATTAAAGTACCTAAATTAAGTATTTAATTTTTAAGCATATGTTTTCTCTCTGTAATTTAGATTTTAATAGAATTATAAAAATTATCAATTGTTTTCAAACATTCGACATAGTTTTACGTCAACCGAAACCATCAAACGACAACTGTTACTTATAAGACCACTTCTAAAATTAAAAACTTTTTAGAGATCATTTAAAAAGATTATTGAGGCTCAAAAACGCTAATATCTGTTTTTTGGGTCATCCCGTAAAGTAAATATAAAGTAGTAATCTCAGTTCGTCTTGTTTGTTGTTTGGAAGTCCACTGTCTGTCCAATCATAACTCATGAACTCGATCCCTTAGTTTTCTGTATTTAATTATACACAAAGTCTCAACATCATGAAATCAAAAGTAGCTGCACTTGCAGTTAAAATAATAAGATAATAAGATAAAAATGTTACCCACATCCCCGGACTGAAAAACTAATTTATTTGGTGAAAGGTGAAGGTTTAAAAACGAAAATGTCAGCTTTTTTCTATCAATAATTCTTTAAAATTTTTTCTTTGAACTTTTAAATCTAGTGAACTTTAGAAAAAACCAAATGATATTAGATCGAGTATTTTAGTAAAAATGAGCCAGCGTCAATTTAATTTCTTTTCATTACCAGTGTACACATATCATTATTAGCGGAAAACTTTATGGTTCTTTATATCGAGATCAATTCTTGATGTCCTCTTTTTTACTAATATTAAGATTAATTTAATCTAATAGTAATATCCAGGTGAGTTTCTTAAATGCAACCAATCAGAGTGTCTTTTGTAGAAACCGAACAGCAAATCAGAAGCCGAAAAACAGAACAGCCAATCAGAAGCCGAAAAATCTAGCAGGGCTAAGTAAAGAGAGGATTAAAAAGAAAATCAAAAGTGTTCAAAGTGGATACAGAAATTTAGAAATCGGAATCCAATACACGAGTTTTCAGCTCTGTTTAGTTTAACCATGTCTGGTACTAACTACTAACCTAACTGTATATCTGGAAGAATAACAACTTGATCCTCTTGGACAGGTTGGTTCTGTAGAGCACTATGAAGAAGGGGGGAGAGTCCTCCTAAACCAATAATAAGGAAATACCTTTTTTTGATAAGAATTTGCATAATTTAATAATCTCCTTATACTTTTACGAGTTCACATGAGAAAAAAAGTCCGTCCGAAATTGTGTAAAACTTGCTTGTAACTGCTGAAATTGTGTAAAATTTGCTTGTAACTGCTGAAATTGTGTAAAACTTGCTTGTAACTGCTGAAATTGTGTAAAACTTGCTTGTAACTGCTGAAATTGTGTAAAACTTGCTTGTATCTGCTGAAATTGCTTAAAACTTGTTTGTAACTGCTGAAAAATGTTCCATTTCACCCTTTTGAAAAAACATTCCCCCCGGCCCCCTCCCACAGAGACACAAAAACTGCCTGCAAAGATTAACTTCCAGAACAAAATTAAATTTACTGAAGTAAACGTCCCTCTGACTCATGAGGAAGAACTCCTTATACTCCCTAGATCTTTATTAAATGAAAAAGCCTACCTAAGAGAAGAGAAGGTAAAGGAAGAGAACCGTCCTCACATTGTACAATAGTATCCTGAGAATATTCAAGATCGTGATGATCAGCACAAATATATTTTTGAATTATAAAAAAAAATGTTTGGTATTCCAAATATAGACATATAGTCATCATGAATTTCCTTTTCAGTGGTTGGGTTCCTCAGATTTTCATTAATATTCCAGATCAAGAACTAGGTATTCAAATGGTTTACAAATTAGACTCAATTGTACAAACAAAATGCTGTTTTTTGATTAATGATTTTTGAATTTCTTTATTTTTCCGTTTTACTTGATAGAATCATGTTAAATACAAAATAAAAAAGGTGATTTGTTGGTCAAATTGAACTCAAACAATTCTTAAATCTTGGGTCATAAAAGTAGAAGTGGCAAAGAGTTAGGTTCACAAAATCAATTAAAAGAGACGGAAAAATATGAAACAAACCCTTTTCTAAAAATAAATTTTAAAATTCATTACCAAACCTATGAAGATAAACTTTTATTATACCAAGTTAACTTCAAGATATGTATTTTTTTCAGTAGCGTTCACATGACTGCTATTTCCGTAAATCTTGTAATTCAATTTAACTTTTTTTCATTTTTAAAACCATTTTCCTTGGCATGCTCGGCCTGTGAGTGTTTGCTATCTGTTTCCATCTGAAAATATTTTTTAAAATTTAAACAAAAAAAACAATGAAAGTGCTAGCAACAAAATTAAGTTGTTTTAACTTTTAATTTAGCGACTTGAGGTTTAAGTTTCAAAACTATTGATTTAAAAAATAATATTGATTTGTTGTATTTGCCATTTATTTGTTTTCCTGTAATAAATCCAAACATTTTTTTCTTCCTTTTTCTGTGATAATTATATTTTTTGTAGTAATTCAAAAAAGTGCTAGCAACAAAAAAGTATACGGTTTTTTTATTAAACCACAAAAATAATTTTTTTTTACTGTGCAGAGTACAACGTTTTAACTAGTCGTTAAGTAAACATTTTTAGTCATAAGAGTGCAATAACATGGGTTCATATATTTTACATTAAAAACTGACAAGAAACACACGGGTATAGTTTACATATATGAGTTTAACAGGTACACATTCAAATTTTACTATGAAACCAGAGCTGGTATCATGTGAATTGATTAAACTAGATTTAATCGATTAAAATTATTTGTTATTATTATTTTGTCTCTCATTGGTCGAACTTATGCAGACCAATTAAAACGAATTGACGGATTCTGCTCACATATTAATTGGACAAAATTATGCTTTTTTATATCATGCTTAGACATTTTTTACTTATTAAGGGACATAGCTAGTGTTACTCAAAGCCAATTTTACTCATGAAAACATACACTTTTTTATCTTAAGTTGGCTAAATTTTAAATAATTTCTTGGTTGATAGTAACACCCCCAGTCCACACGCCTGATTCTTGTATTTAAGCAAAAGTCCATTGGATCCATTTTTTAAGAATCGTTTTCTCCATTTCTTTTTTTATTATTAAAATTATCGGACACACGATTATTTTAGTTTTTTTGTTATGTGGAATATCTACCCAGTACCCATGTTAGATTTCAAGGCCTTTATAAAAATTAGAGTTTGAAAACGAAAAATGTGAAGAAAGAAATGAAAAGATGTCCAACAATTCTAGATTAAGTCCAAAAAAAGAAACAAATAATTAAAATGTCAAGTTAAAATTTACAACAAAGAAAACGTTGACTTAATATTAAAAAAAATTCAACTGATATTTTTTTCATACACCGGGTTCTATTAATAAGAGATTAGATTTGGTTTACATAAAAGTTACAATAGTCAAGATATAGATTTAACCGGGGTTTTGTTTGATATTCATTATTCATACAGGTGTGCATTCTTAGCGGTCAGATTTGTAGCGTGGAACAATAACAGATTCATGAACACCTAAAAAATCATCAAATTCAAAAGCTGAAACCTATTTAAACTTTATTTCATTTCATTAGAAATAGCGCGCGAAAAGTAGAAAATTGCAAGATTTTCAAAGAAATCCAATCGATAAGGTTAGCTAGATTAAAACCCTATTAATTATTAATAATCTTTGGTGTGAACAACTTGCTAAAGAAATTATATTTTTCCTTCCAATTAATTAAAAACCATTTGAAATACGTTTCTCCTGTCAAATTAAATTAAATTAGTTTAGCCTCCTCAAATCAAAGATATTCTTTTAAGATCAACATTCTTTAACCAGCTATTTTGCACAGAATTAAGATCAAGATCAAGTTGTAAAAAGATTTGTATGATTTTTTATATTCAAACCTATCTGTCAAATTAAGACAAGTTTTAAACAAAAAGAATTTAAAATTAAACCAAACCAAACCAAACCAAACCAAACCAAACCAAACCAAACCAAACCAAACCAAATCAAATCAAATCAAATCAAATCAAATCAAATCAAATCAAGGACTTCCTAAATCGGGAATGAAGTGATGATTTAAGATTTATAATGATTTGCAACTTTACTTATTTCACAACAAGAATCTGCTTTTAAAATTCACTCAGTTCCAATATTAATTGTTTTGTTTGCCATTATTGTTTGGACTAAACAAAATTTGTTCTTCATTACAGCGGACATCCAATGAGTCTACTGGTTAATTACCAATATTTTGAAGTTTGTTAAGAGGTTTAATGGTCAATGTATTCGAGTTCCAGGGTTCATCGCTAACTTGTCGTCGTTCTTCAAGTCTCATCCTTGATTCGTCCATTTGATTTATAGACAAAGTATCCTCCGATTCTTGCTCGCTTTGCTCGTCATAATTACCATTAAATTTATCCTTGTCTAATATCAATTATTTAAAATAACCTTTCTAGTGTGATATTAATCAATGGAGAGAAAAAAGTCACCATAAAATCAGGTCTCTCGAAAATATATTTTTTTTATCGAGTTTGGGTACCAACCCGATCTTAACTGTTTAAAAAATACAAAAAAATTTAAAAGTTAGCTCTAGAAATATTAAATGTGGATTAAACATGATATCTTGGACAATTGTAAAGGCTGCAGAATTTAAAAATACATCAAGCTTCAAACAAAAACAATAATTTGATGACTGTACATTTTTTGGACGTTGCAATTTCTTAAATAATTTTCCTTTGATTGGACTGGATAAGGGTTGCAGTCCTTTATGATGTGAATTAAAATGAACGTTAAGACTGGTTCTCTGGGCGAAACTGCTGGAGCAGTGGTTACATTTGTAAGGTTTCTCTCCTGAAATAACAAAAATATTGTTTAGAATAAATATGTATTGCTTTTTATTCTGAGAAGCAACGTAGAATTTTACGTGAATTTCAGTACAGTGTATAATTTTAACCCTGAAAAGGCTTAGATAGACAGACAAATNAGTTTTTTGTCCTCTTATTTTTAACACTATGACCGTGAAATTTTGTGACTTATAATGAATAATAATTTAAAGGATTTTTTGTTGAAAAAATATTTTTTTTTAAATTTATAGGGTAGGGTACAGGGTGGAAAAAGTCCGGTCTGTGAAAAAAATCTAAAATAGCCCATAAATTTTTTGTGACTAAAGCTACAGATCTAAAAACTATAGTTTTGAAAAGCCCTTGAAAAATGCATGTCAAAACATGTGTCACACTTTGAAATTTGTTTTTAAAAAATATGTTTTTTTTTCTTCATTTTTTCTAGCACCCAAACTATTAAAGTTTTCGGTCTTTTTTGCTTTGAGCTGGCCATAAAAATTGGACTATGATTATGCATTTCAACCCAATAACTATTATCTAAGGCTTTTTAAGGGGGGGGGGTGCGCCAAACGCCCCCCCCCAGGCTATTCATAGATTCAGACCCCCCCCCCCAGCCTTTATAGGGTTAAGAGTTTTAAGAATGATTTTTGATAAAATGGCGAAAACAATAAAATATTGAACATCAAACAGCAACATTTTTCATCCTTTTATTAGGAAAATTAATTCATTTTCCCCTATTTACTATTCAGCAAAGAAAATCCTAACAAAAGTGTTTGCTCTCCGCAGAAACAAACCTAACTCATGGGGGAAAATGATTTTCAGTGAGGGTGGAACGATTTTTCAAAGATAATATAAACCACACCCTGTCCTGTTGCAGTATTTCAATAATTCGGGGAATATTTCTTATTCAGATTTTGTTCGATTTCCTTGCTAAACCAACCTGTATGAAGTCGTTCATGATTTCGTAAAGTTTTCTTAGCGTTAAATCCTTTTCCACACCACTGACAAATTTCAGGCTTCTCTCCTGAAAAAAAGTGGAATAGAAGTTAAAAGAACAGAACAACAAAAACATGAAAATACAGCGATTACAAACTTTTTCCTGATAAATCAGTTGTCAAATAAAAACATTCTAAAACATGATTCTAGGAATGCTTATTGGTCAGCTAGCATACACTTTCAACTGTCAAATAATTCTGGCCTAACCTTCAGTATAAAAATTTAAACATGCGATAATGTCTCGGTGTAGTTCCTGGCAAATACATTTATAAAGGATTAGAGTAGATTTCTGCTCTATACAATATAACCTCGTTGATAAAATCGACTAGGTAGAAAACTGAACAATTCTCAAATATTCACAAACATGAAAACAAATATTTATTGTCTGTTCTAACCTGTGTGTGTACGTTCATGCTCCGTTATAACATTCCTAGCGTGCGTCTTGAAGTCACAGAACTTGCACTGGTATCTTTGTACCTAGATACAGGACATAACAGATCACTAGTATCATCGGTAAGCTGTCTTTAAGTAACTCGAAAAATCATTTTCTTCGTATTTAGAGAAAAATAAATTTCTGTATTTTTTAGAGAAAAATGCGGATCTGGATTAATAATAAAGATTACTGTGTAAGATTCATAACTTAGAACTCGTGGCAGGGGTGTAAAGACTCGTGGCTTTGTTCTTTTTCACCTTGATTCTATGTTTGGCCGTGATATGAATCTGAAGTTTAATCTTAGAAGTGAAAATATCTCCGCAGTTGGGACACAGGATACTCTCAACCTTCTTGTTCATGTTGTGCTTCAGATCCATGTGATATCTAGACAAACCATTTATTATTACCAAAAAGAGAATTAAAGCCTTCATCAATTTCAGAATATGAAAATAGGTTTGATTTTTCAAATTTTTAAAAATAAACAACAACTCATAAATTTTAAAAAGAAACAGAAATGGATAGAAAAAAATTATGTGGCGTAGAGGTCTTTTTTCATAGTATTTTTTTAAGAACAAGAAATCGTTGATGTACAGGGCTACCCACATTAGATGAGACTATAAAGACGATCTGAAACTCCTTAAATCTGACGATTCCATGGTTTAATTAAATCTTCTACCTTGAATAGTTTTTTATGGCTTATTCAATGATTTAACAAAGAGAGAAACATGTTTACGATTGCAGAAAATAATAAATATAAGGAAACAGAAAGTATAAATTCTGCACAGTCTCATCCTTTGTGGGTAACCCTGTATGATAATAAAACTGACCTCAGAGATTTCCTGTACGGGAAAGCTTTTGAGCAAAGTTCACAAATATAGTTCTTCTGATGATTGTGCACAACGTTGACGTGATCAGTAACCTCACAGGTGTGTCTGTACACACAAACTCTTTAGAACAAGAATACATGCATTGTTCTATTCATCAAAGCTAAAATAATGTAATGCCTAAAATTCTTAAATCCCAAAATTTGGTTTCAAGATGACTTTTCTAACTAAATAAAACTTTCATTATAAAAATATGAAAAAAGTTAAATTGTTTAACATTTTAAATTGTAGATATGGTTCAACTTTTAAAATAAAGAAATGGATTAAAGAGTAAGCTTTCCTGAATTGTCTTTCACATCCTTCCTCAGGGCATGTATGATTCTTCAGTCTGAAATAAAGAATTTATGATTTCTTTTTCAGGGAACTTTTATTTACAAAACCTAATAAAACCTAACAAAAAAGATTAACTGTTTGCAATTTCACCAACTATCTCTTCTTAAAAAAAATGTCTTAAGGGGAATTATACTTTCATACATCTATAGACGGAAAGAAATGTGATAAATTTTAAGTCGGCTACGGCAGGAGTATTATAACGTTTTTTCCAATAAAATGTAGAGGGGTAAAATTATCTTAAAAGTAATTCATTCTATAAGGGAAGAAAGCTCCAAAATGAACATTCAAACAACGTTTCCTTAATGGAATAAAACAAGAAAGGAGATAAATCGTTGTTCACTAATCACAAAAAGTTAAATTTATGATTCAATGGTAATTAACCGTTGCATACTAAATTACCTTTTCCTCTTTCCATCCCGCCTTAAGGAGAGAAGACGACAGCTCTCTAGAATCTCAGCTGAGTGGTTTGCTGCAGGTTCAGTTCAAATTAATCATAAGCAATTTCAGTCATGTTGTAAAGACAAGATTAACATAGTTCTTACATAATGACAATATTAGAAATAAAAAAAAAAATATTGAAGCGGCTTTAAATTATTAAAACAAAAAGAATATAATATTATTATTTGAACAGTTCCTAGTGCATGTTTTTTTCTAGATTTTATTCCGTTGAAAGTTTCTGGACAGTAGATACAAGTCACTTTCTTTCCTGATTATTTCACCATAGCATTATATTTAGATCGAATAAATAACCATCAACTGAAAATTTAATCTATTTCCCTATTTACATTGGACTTACGGCCCGGGGTGTATACTTTTTATAATTCCCCCCCCCCTCCCCTATTTCTATTTATTTTACCCAATTCTGTGAATAAAAGACTAAAAACAGACCTAGCTTCTGGGAAAAAAAAAAGATTTTCAGAAGGGGGAATATAAAAAATATTGTAAGAAAATATACAGTATACAGTATACACCCCTGTAGACTTTTGGGCTATTCTGAAAATTAAGTTAAAGTTCCTGATACCCGGTTATTACAAAAAAAAGTTTTAGATTGTCTATCAAGGCAGGTTTGAATGCTAAGATCCCTGGTCTCAGCTTTTTAGACTTTTTATCTTCTTCTAATGTCTCATCAGTCTCCTCGATATTATCTTCTTCCTTCATATCATGGTCTTCGCCTTCCTTCTCATCTTCGTCATTTGTCATCGTTATTTCCTGAAAATCCATCTTGTGCTCCTCAAACTCATCAGCATACTTCATATCCTATGTAAGGCAGTATCTATGTAATATAAATTAGCAATCTCTGTTTGTTCGTTTGTATGTCCGATCATAACTCAGAAACCCCTTAATCGATTTGCCTAAAATATTGATTGGGGAACTTGGGTAAACCATGAGAATGTTCTTAGCTTGGTTTTGAGATTCTAAGTTGGGTGGGTAGACTTTTATTAAGAATAAGAGATAAAATCGTTATTTAAGACCAAGCGCGGGTAAACGACGGGAGTAACTATGAGTAAGCAACGCTGGTTTCCCAAGGTAATAGCTCATATATCAAAACTTGAAGTTGACCCATTTTCATGATTTGTAAGAAAAGAATATTTCACATTCTTTATTTTCTGCGTGCACTAGGAAGAAAAATTTTAAAGTTTCAAAAACAATCCTAACTATAAATACTCCATTCCTGTGAGAGCAGTTGCCCAGATAACAAATCAATGTGATGTTTTGCTACGTGCTGTTTGAGTTTATCCTTCCTCGTAAATCCTTTCTCACATTGATCACATTCAAACGGTTTTTCGCCTAAAAAGTAATCTTGTACAAGCGAAGACGAAGAAATAAGTCAAATATGATTAAATCCTAATAAACTGGACGGAAAAAAGCAAACAAACAATTAAGTGCATTCTACGTGTTTTTAAAGCTTAACCCGCTTAACATGACTAAATATTTCAAATTACAAGAAATATATTGAGTGAAACATTAATCATGTGAACATAAAGCATTTTGAAAGTTACCGGTATGTTGCAGCATGTGTCTGTTCAGATGATCATGTCTTCTAAACTCTTTTTTGCAAAAACCACAGGTATGAACCTTGGTAAATTTCTCTGGGACTGATGAGAAGCTGAGATTTTCTGAGAGCTAAACAAAATTGGTAATTCATAAAAGAAAAAAATAGAAATATTCAAGATTTAAAATTAGCATGATGTTACCTCTATGATCGGTTCCTGTTTGATCGTAAGTTCAGCCAAGGGATCGTCTTCAATTTTTACCTGGAAATAAAAAAACAATCCGCAAATAATAAAAGTAAATGAACATACCTATGATAACATGGATTGAATAATGACATCGATACCAATTATGCCAATGATGCCAATGGTGGATATGGTGGATATGGTGACAATGGTGGATATGGTGACAATGGTGGATATGATGACAATGGTGACAATGATGACAATGATGACAATGAGGACAATGATGACAATGGTGGATATAGTGACAATGGTGGATATGGTGACAATGATGACAATGATGACAATGAGGACAATGATGAAAATGATGACAATGATGACAATGATGACAATGATGACAAAGATGACAATGATGACAATGATGACAATGATGACTATGGTAAATATGGTGAAAATGATGACAAAAACGACAATGATGACAATGATGACAATGCTGACAATGATGACAATGATGACAATGATGGCAATGATGACAATGATGACAATGATGACAATGATGACAATGATGACAATGATGACAATGATGACAATGATGACAATGATGACAACAATGATAATGATGACAATGATGACAATGATGACAATGATGATAATGATGACAATGATGACAATGATGCCAATGATGACGACAAGCATGACAACTATTACAACGATGACAATGGTACCTGAAAATCCATATCTGGTATATCAAGCATAGTCAGAACCCATTCCTTCTCCTCAAGTGAACAACTCAATACAGTCTCAGAAAACCCGTATACAATTCTAATAAAAAAACACATTAAAAACAATAACATTTAAAATGCCGGTTTATGTATTTTTTAATAAGAATATCCCGCTCTTTTCCTTACTTTTCTTTCGAAATAATTTATTTTCAAGAATATTTAAACCCATGAAACAAAGCATCATATAATTATTTATAAAAAATTTAAGTAAATTATTGGTCTCTCTCTAAACAAATCAAATCATATCGGAATTTTACGGTCGACTTACTTCCCACATCTCAAACCCAAAGTGAACTTACTAAATTAAGAATGAGATATTTTGTGATAGATAATAATGTATTCTAACTCTGTGACCCAAGTACTCCTAAGGGAGGCAGAGGGTTGCCGGGAGGGGTGGTTTCCTGGTAACATTCTTGTTATTGGGATGTCCTAATAGATAGATAGATAGATATTTGATCTTGCTAAGGTGACCCTTAGAGAAATAACCTGATGTACTCCTGGAAGGATTGTTTAGAAACCTCGGATAGAATTATCTCGTCTGCATCTTCCACTACACAAACCTCCGCTCCTAGCTGTTTTATCAACAGATCCCTGAATTCAGTAATGTTTTTATCCGAGTAGGAGCCGTGGAGGGGTGACAAGGGGCAGCAGTCACATTCCCCTTATTTTCTAATCCGAGCCACCTTGAAATTTCTAGTCCTTCCATTAGTGTCCAATCCTTACAGATTTAACTCTTTTTAAAAAAAGGAATCGTGTCAAAATTTATACAAGTAAATCTATTTTATTCAATTCACAAAACTCAGTATTTCATTTAAGCCCTAAAATGGCCAGATTTAAAAACAAGGATTGGAAACTTAAAAAATAATATTGATTGTATATTTCGAGGTGACTCGGACGAGAATTGTTGTGGCTGGCCTGAAATTTCTCTCACCACCCTCACCTATCTTTCCTATTTATCAAACTTTAACAGAATCAGGTGAAATAAAATAAAATCCTTCATGGAAAAAAGTTTTTCAATCTTTGATGTTTCTAAAATAATAAAAAGAGCAAAGAGCATATTTATCTCTAAAACGTTATATTTTTTAATATATATATTAAAGATGTTTAGCATTTATGCATAATAGTAGACTAGCTTAAGGGGCCGGCGTTGCCCGTGAAAAAAATTTGAAAAATTAATAAAAAATAAAAAAAATTTTTAAAAAAATTTTTAAAAAAATTTCGAATTTTCTTTAGCCTACTACTAGCCAGGCTACTCATGAGTGTCCACAAAAACATTCTGTTTGGCCGGCTTGAGGGGACAAATATATAAATGTCTTGTTTTATTATGTAGATGTACTTATTAAACCTAAATGTGTTTGAGAAAAAGAAAGAAGTTGCAAATGGTTATCAAAAGGCCTGCCCTCCATTATCCATTACAAAAGATGACAATAATTATTTACATGTTAAAAACTCATATTTTAAGTATAAAATGTTATTATATACCTTAGGATTAGTTTATGACAGTGGAAAACTGATTCCCCTTCCCCTCCACATCTTACACTTATGTCGGTATGCCTACAAGGATAAGAACTTATTAAGATTAATAATAATTTATTAGACCTGAAAAGAGCCCCCCCCCCCCCTCCAGAACTCAGAGCTTTCACACTTTTCAAAGCTTAAACTCAAGAGTTAAGAACATAAAAACATTAATTTGCTGTTCATTCAGTGCACTAGGAAGATTGTATACGTGGACCAGAGCCACCATGACACAAGTCCGAATGAAAAATCTATTTAGAATGCACATTCATCGGCATCCCACTCGGATGGGCACTATCAGGGATAGTGAAGTAAAACAATTATTTTTAAATGCCAAGCCACGAAGGCTTAAGTTTGAAGGTGGTAAAAACCATTTTTTTTTTTTTTTTAAAGTTAGGATTTAATTTACTTTATTCATTGCACCGCCGTTTTGTAATCTTTCTTATTATTTTTATTAAAAACTAGCTGAATGAACGAAGAGCTTTAATATATAAATTACAATTGTACTCCTACTTTTTTCTTTCAAAACAGAAACTTTTACAATTCATAATTAATTCCTGGACCTTTGTCCTTTTTTCATCTCATAGAATTTAAGTTTAAGTTGAGTTTTTCATTTTCAAAAATGTCTTTTACCATCTCTAGTTTAAATACCAATTATTACTAACATAACAGTATTATAAAATGTCGATTTTTTTTAGAAACAATGCTTTTTTCTGCTAGTTTTGTTTGAAGGAGAGATAGAGTATAATGATTGGACTCTAGTGTATGTTTACCTTTAAAGTATCTTATTCTTAAGCCTGATATTCAAGAATTTACAATTAAATTACCCCTCCCCCCCCCGATTTATTTCTGTATACGCCCTTGTATTACATTATTATAAACATTCAGGACACAAGATGTTTATACGTTTTATATTAAAATAAAAAAATCGTAACAATTTTTATTATCACTAGATGGACAGCAATTACCTTCCTTCTGTATACCAACATCTTGCTAGACTAAGGATATCACTGGTTTTCGTAGTAATGTCAATCTTCATGTTATTTCTATTAATTTTTAGGATTTTTTGAAACCATTTTTCTGTCAAACGGAGACACCTGAAATTTTATATAAAATATACTTTTGAATCTACAAACTACGTGGGAGGGACTATTTCTAAAACTTGAAATTATGAGGGGGATTGGGTCAGGAAAGTTTCTTAGCGTTAATAAAGAACTTATAGAACTGGAGGGTCTGTCCTAGTGAACGATTTTTGGACCCCCCCAGACCCTCCTCATATCAATTTTGTACATGACCAAAATAGTATTTATTTAGCATTATTTAGAGTTAGGTTAGGTTAAGACACTTTCTGGGCCGAACGCTGCGGCCACGGGTTAGGTTAAGTTGAGACACCTTCTGTAAGATCCATGTACAAAATTGATANTGGTGGGGGGGGGTCAAAAAATCGTTCTATAGGAATATACCGAAATGGACAAAACATTAATAATTATAAACAAAAATGTGAACAGTAAAGGTGATTTCATGCTCAGGACTGTCCATCATATTAGAATTAGCTTTAAAACTGATTAATGATCTTTAATTCAAAACAATAATAATTAACATTCATATAATTAACATTTATACAAACTGAACGAGCTGAACCTAGCCTTAATAAAAAAAATATTTTTTTGGATGAATAAAATTATATCGGACACCAAAGGTCGTGGTATACATATTTGAGAAAGGTTCATTGCAAACCTCTTTCAGCCAAACACCCTTAAAAGTGTCATTTATTTATCAATTTTTAATTTTTTGCTGAGAAAACTGGAATTAGAATTTCAGAAAATTATTTACTGGCTGTATGCTAAGCGATTCATATTTTCCTGCGAAACGCTGAAATTTAATTTTAATAAAAATAAAAAAGAATCTTTATAAAAAAAAACTGGAAAAGAAAAAATTCTCTGGTAATTATTTGAGTATCTCCTCTGCTACTTTTTCGGAATTTTCATGTCCTTTTCGATGAAAATCCCGAATTTGATTGAACGTCAATGTTTTGAAATGACCTCTGCGCAACAGAGCCGTGAATTGCCGCACTACTTTTCAACAGCTATTACGGGACAGTGTTTTTCGTTCAATTTAATCTTATAAGTTGAATCAGGGAGTGAGGAATAAAGCCTGACGCCGTTCGCCCCACCATATGATTATACATGCTTTGCAGACGGGTACTCCTTTTGTGTATGAAATATTCAGAATAGGTTATTGTATACGTGGTAATTGTACATCAGACAAATATTTCATATACAAATGGAGTACCCGTCTGATTGATTGATTGATCAACGTATATGCTCTATAAACTTGTCATAAGACAGTTTCTTAGCTATATAAGGGAGGACCGGATGGGACTAATGCCCTGTTACTTGTACTTAGCTCTATGGAGCCTTCAATGAGTACTAATTTTTTGCAATTTTCGGCAAGGTAAGGACAAGTTAAGGAGCATATACTGCTAACTATTGTGCATGCATGGACATCGTCCTCCTACACCACCCAGCAGCTTGGGCCCACTGTGTAGAATCGATGGCACAACCTTTTGACTGGTGGGAATTTTTGCCACAAATTTTACACTAAACACCGTTTTCGTGAAGTGTACACAACGTACACCGCTCCACTGTATTTACTTGTGGCTAATCTCCGGGTTATGACTCACTAGGTTCTGCATCTCGCCGCAAGTAGCGCTGCGTAACGAAATCTTGTGGCAGCCGGATCGGGGACCCGACCCAACCACCTCAAGATTTGAAACCGAGAGCGCTACCAATTAGCCACAGAAGCTAGCTAGTACCCGTCTGGAAAGCATGTATAATCATATGGTAGGGCGAACCGCGTCAGTTACATCTCCCTTCTATTCCTTACTCTCTGAGTGAGTTGAATTGACTTAAGAAAGATACCAGTAATAAGGTACATAGAAATAAACGAGGTAATTTCCTCGAAAACGATTTTTTGACCCCCCCCCCCCCTCCTTTCAATTTTGTACAATTTGTAAGATTGCCCTATAAGCCTGTCTTAGCCGCGGCGCTCGGCCACCTAGCCTGTGCTAGCCGCAGCGCTCGGCCCCATAAGAAAAAAGTGGCCATGTACAAATTTGATAGGAGGGGGGAGGGGGTCCAAAAATCGTTCTCTAGGACAGATCCCATTTGAATCACTAGAAAAGTGATGGGTCGATTACAAATCGTCATTGATAAAATTAATTCTGTTTTCAGATGCATTAGTTCACCAACTACCTCGACAGAGTTGAAAAATGGAAATCCCCCGGAGAAAATTAAAAAGTTTAGTACAATATTTGACAATCTTCGGTCTACTCTCTCTTCTAATTTACACAGTCAGCAGGTTTAGCAATGTACAGGAACGGAATGAAACTAGGTAGGTAACTTGATTTATGGTTTCGTCATAGCATCAAGGAGCATGAAGTAGAAGGGAGATAATACTGACGCGGCCCACCCTACCAGTATACAATAACCTATTCAGAATATTTCTAATTCAAATGGAGTACCCGTCTGCAAAGTGCATAATCTTATGGTAGGGCGGGCCACGTCAGTTGTATCTCCCTTCTATTTCATACTCCTTCCCTAGCATACACTTTTTAGCCCCTCCCCCCCTCCTGTCTGATTTTCATGACGCCGACCTTGACTATCGTACAATAATAAATTACCCACATTTTGTATATAAACGTTTTCTCAAACATTTGAATTATTTATTCATTACCGTTTAAATGCCAACCATCGTCTCCTGGCCACTGAGCCTATTTACCGCACTTAAATTAAACATAACCTACTCAATTTTAGACCTGAGAAAGAGCTTCTGGATAAAGGTTTGGGGATTATGTCTGAAAATCAGAAAGATGAAAGAGATATTCCCAAGAAGGCACTTGAGGTAATGTATTGTTTAATAAGAATCAACTTTTTGCCATCTCTATTCTCTATGCTTTCTTCAAATTGAATCATAGATTTTTCTGTGTTTTTCGAGGTACTTTAAATTGTAAAAACAAAGTTTTAATATCTTGACATTTTCCATCCAAAATAGTGTTATGACTGCATCAGTATGATTTTTTTCTTCTCGTCGTCTAAACTAATCAACATACAACATTTCCGTTGTAAAAATCTATTATGTCTACGGTTGCAACCGTTTAGAAATTAGATATGCCAGATCTTAAGCTCCTGATTAAATACAAGTCAGTAATACCTTTTATCGTTTTCCCGCAGGTTGTTGGAATAGAAAATATACAAGAAGACGAGAAGCTGGATCCAAACAGGAACAAATTGATTAAAAATATCCTTCACGAGTAAAAAAAAAAGATTTAATCCGATTCCAATATTGGCTTATCAAGTTAGATGCAATCATGTCAGATTGTCATGGAAAACGAAACAGTATGACCAGTGACCACCACGGGATATCGAAGAGGAATTAAATCAATCTGCGTAAGGTTGCAATCAATGCTTCACAAGTCGGAAATTCTGACTTCATAGATCGTAACTTTTTTGTTGTTAATTTCGGGATCTCCAGCTTTTGTAGATCTACGAATTCATCAATTTCTCTTCGAGATCCCAGGGTAATCGTACCCTGCAGAAATACCTAAAATAAATAAATCAAGCATTGATCCTCAAATTTAAATTGCCCACAATGAAAACCGAGATCCACGCATTTGGGTTGGCATACAAAAAAAACACCCAATAAAACCCACATTAAAAAAACCTATCTAAAAGTGTTTTTTTTTTTTATTATTTTTATTATTTATTTTTTGTGTGGTGACTAAAACCTATGATCTTTAATAAAAATATTGTTTGAATAATATTCCGAAAAAAAAATATTGAATGAATTTAACTATTCATCCTTGTCACTCAGCAGAGTCGAGGTCTCTTCTCCAGGTCATAATGAAGTATGTTGTATTGAAGATGTTTCCTCTGTTTACAGTTGCTAGTATATTAGCTTTCTACCACCAAGACGGTTTCTGGTTAAAAGAGTGTTCGCGAGAAATGAAAGAGGGTATAGACTTACGTCGAAAAATAATCTAGTTTTTTTTAAATAATATTTCGCTGGCGCTGGATTTTCGAACATTCCTGGAAAATATGAAAATGTCGTCTTCATTATCAAAAATCCTCGAAACGGGAATAAATGTTTTCACAAGAAACTATCAGATCATAAAAAAAAAAAATATTATGAAATATCAACTATATAAGAATGTGTCGAAAAATAATCAATGACTATTGATTGTAATATCTGAATGGTTTGTTTGGCATTGAATTGATATTTTTACAATCCGAGTAGAATGTTGCAACTTTCTAATGAAAAATTGAAAAACAAACAAAAAAACACAATAAACCCCAATAGAACGTACTGGGCTGGGCTTTTAAAAAAACCAGGGGTTTTTACAACCCTGAATTGTAAGATTAAAGATGTTAGAACAAAAAAGTTATTTTTAATGGTCAGATTTATCTGGAATTCACGTTTTAATCTCTATTGGTAAGATTGATTGATTGGCATGATTGGGACCAAATAGCAGAGGAGAAGCAAAGAGTTGGACCAGGAGAACAGGTATCTAACCTACTTCCTCTTGCACCCATTAACTTAACCTTCTAGGGGGGATTTGATTTGAAAAAATGTGCCTTTTTGTGAAGTTTGATTAGATTAGTTTTATCGTTTTTTAGTCTCGTGGGGAATTAAATCAACAATTTTCTGGTAAAAGTTATTAAATTTTAGGAGCATTGAAAAAAAACTAAATGGTTTAAAGAAGAAAGATCTATTTTTTATGCCTCTTGAAGCAGGCTTAAAAAATATAACCGTGGTTTTATCATTAAAAATTCTTCTAAATCATGTATCTACATCTTTTTAATAAAAAATATTGAGTGTCAAGGAAGAGGGGGGGGGGTTAACAAAATAACAACTGGAGATATATTAGAAAATAAGCTGTTTTTTCCCTAAAATTTTTTCAAAATATTCATACTCTACACAACTCAGAAAGATTCTTATTTAATATTATCCTGAGTAAATAATCACGTTTTTAATTTTTTTTTCAGGATAATTTTATAGTAATTAATAATATAATATCTTAAAGGGGAAGGCTGTTGTGATATCTCCTGAAGAGCAAAGTCTGCATTCAGATCTTTTCACTTCAAATGGATTCAGTGGGTATGCCAGTGATAAAATATCCGTTAACAGGTATTATAGTTGTTTCCACTAACTGTACATTTGTCTAACTACCTTAAGAGAGTGTAAGCGTAATTTCAAATCTGGCAATTTGTCTAGTCCACAGCGGTTCCCTTGAAACCTTCATTGGATCAAAATTGTGTGAGATATTGTCGTTTTTCTAGTTTTAACATTGTTAATTCTGAAGCATATTCCTATAGTAGAAATGCGCAAATCACTTTTGTTAAGAAACCACAATTGAAAATAATCATTTTTAAAAATTATTAACATTATGATCTAATTCATACTTGATCAGAAAAAGTTTTTAGGGGTACCTTTGTGAATCGAGGCAGTATTTGCATGAAGGATCACTTAAAATTATGCTTACAGTTTTTTTAAACTCTTTATTTTGGTTTCTTAATCCAAAGTAAATATAAATCTTCAGGTCTTTTTTATAAAAGTTCTCGAACTCATTACTTAAACTTATTAATAAGCTTTTCATCTATTTTTGATTGTTTAGATCTATTCCTGACATACGTCATGCTGGATGCCGGACTAAGCAGTATAAAGCAAATCTGCCAACTGTTTCTGTTGTTATTCCTTTTTTTAACGAGCACTGGACTACACTACTCAGGAATGATAATGATCAAAATGGCATTTTGTACTGGATTTTACATTTTCAACTTTAAATTAATCAATTAAATATTAAATTCAACGCTTAAACGTTTTCGGAACACGAGATAGGTATTTTATTCTCGTTTTTATTCACTTCAGACATAAAAAATTAAGTAAATCAAGTCACAAAACTCATTACTTCTATTATCATTGCAATCCAGGACTTTTTTTTCTGTTATTAACAGATCACCCGAGCACCTTTTGAAAGAGATCATTCTTGGTAAGACTTAAGTATTATTATATCTTGTTTATTTAAAAGAAATAATTACTAAACTAAAATAAAAAATAAATCAGTGTCGTATTGTTTGTTCTTATTCTGCAACATTTTTAGTTGACGATGCAAGTACCAAGTCCAACCTTGGGTCCCAACTTGATGAATTTATTGGAAAAATACCGAAAATGAGGATCGTCAGGATTAAGGTGAGATGAAATAGATTTATAATATTTCTTGTTTGTAAGCTCTTTTATTATTTCTTTAGACAACTATCTACTTTTATCCGTCCTATTTATTTTTATTATTTTTTCATTTTTGGTATTTTTAATTATGATTTCTAAGCAGTCAATGCAAGGGGGCGTATTGGTGACCCACCATTTGTAAGGTGGCATGTTCGATTCACAACGATATCCTGTTAAGCTTTGTCTGATTAAGGATAACGGATTTCAATTATCAGAGAATGGTTTGAAGGGTACTGTAGTGAATCTAAAATGCTATTCATAATTGGAAGGTTACTAGAAATTAGGTCCACAGCTCCATTTAAAATTTATTTTATGGTTTGATTTTAGTTCTGGTTTTCATGAGTTTATTGTTTAGGAAAGATCTAGTTTGATAATAGCTCCCTGGCGGGAGCCAATGTGTCAAGTGGGGAGGTTATTATATTCCTGGTTCTCATGAGCTTATTGTTTAGGAAAGATCTGGTCTGATAACAGCTCGTCTGGCGGGAGCCAATGTGTCAATTGGGGAGGTTATTATATTCCTGGTTCTCATGAGCTTATTGTTTAGGAAAGATCTGGTCTGATAATAGCTCCCTGGCGGGAGCCAATGTGTCAAGTGGGGAGGTTATTATATTCCTGGTTCTCATGAGTTAATTGTTTAGGAAAGATCTAGTCTGATAAGAGCTCCCTGGCGGCAGCCAATGTGTCAAGTGGGGAGGTTATTATATTCCTGGTTCTCATGAGCTTATTGTTTAGGAAAGATCTGGTCTGATAACAGCTCGACTGGCGGGGGCCAAGGTGTCAAGTGGGGAGGTTATTATCTTCCTAGATTCTCATACAGAGGCGAACGTAAACTGGTTGCCACCCCTACTAGGTACTACATCAACCTCACGGGTTCGCATAAAACTTAACTCTGTCAATGTGTCCTGAATGATCTTTAAAACGATAATTAGAAATTTAGAATTAATTGAATTAAATTCACACAACTACCATTCTGGGGGGTTCCACTTAGGGTTCCCTTTTAGTTTTATTAGTTTTATATTTGATTTGCGAAATAATCACGGTTCTTTAGATATTCAACTTGTTTTCAAGGCTTTTTTGAATTTGTTAATTGCAGAACACAGGTGGATTTCCAGCTGTTTTATCAGAAACCTCTATTGTTCAGATTTTTCTAATATCTCAGGGTTTTTTTCATGCTTTTAAAAACAATTATGACGGGTACAGAAATGCAGTCTTTTATCCAGATAAATAAATGATGACCTGACCCGCCACTTCATTCTTCCATGATGCAGGACCTTGGCGGAGAATTTATCAACGTAACGTATCAACGTATCAACGTATCAACGTATCAATAGTGCGTCTTCAATTTGCGTTCGCATTAATAATAAGTTTCCTCTTTTTTACCAGAGAATATTGACAAATATAGCCAGCTAATATCAATGATAATTTAGCTTTATTTTTAGATCCAATCGCTACGGATTATAGAACAGCTGTTTGTCCCTTCATAGATGTTGTGGATTATAATAACTTCGAATACAGGCATTCATCATTTGTAAAATAGGACTTTATTTTATTCAACAAAACCTCATTTTTCTCTCTGAACTTGAGTGAACATCTTCAATTTTTTAAAGATATATTTGAAATAATAAAAAGTTTTTGTATGGTTGGTATACAATGGGACTGATATAATTTCAAATAACCCTCCATTTTAAAAAGAGTGGAATGTCCGATTTACAACGGTATTCTTTAACCCTCTAACTGAGTAACAATGAGAAAGCTAAAGTGATTTTTCTATATTATAAATGGCTTAAATCTGAAAATTCCCCTCCATTCTCTTTTGAGTATGAATCCACTGGTCACTTTTTAGATAAATCAAAGGTGAAATTGATAAACTGTTCACCTTTTCATTAAGGATTTCTTCTTTATTCCTGATAGGATAAAAGGATAAAGGGCACTTTTGTGAATCGGACATCTCAGTCTACAAATGGAAACTCACTTGAAATTGATAAAACTGGCCTGTATACTGTTAATTGATCTCTTGTGTGCTTTAGCCCCATTCTTAGCTTGCAATATAAAACATTTATTGATTTTCACAGGGTAAATAAAAAACCCCAGACAACCATTCTTATCTGGAAGTAGAGATTAGTAATACTTTGTCTGCTTGTAAATTATGTAAAACAATCACAATTACAAATCACATTGTTATTACGATACACAGATATACAGAGTAACAGAAATTATGTCTACTGTTCCTTTAAGTAAACAAATTTTGTTTATTTTCTTATTTAAAATGATGCTTGACTTCAGAGCTCAAGATGAAGGTGCACGAGGAGCTTTTGATTGGCAACTTTACTATAAAAGGGAAAATTCAGACCAACCTGTTTAATTTTTAAAATTGAACATGGATCAAGTTCAATGTTTAGTTGATTTATAATTTATATGAATACCAATGTTGGTTTAATTAACTATAGATTACCATTACTACCTGAGGATAAAAAGCATCCAACAGAACCATTTAAATCTCCAGTTATGGCCGGAGGACTCTTTGCAATGAGCTCAAAGTAAGAAACGTTTAATTTTACCTAATAAAACTTATAATCATGTAGGGTAAATGTTTTTATAGATTCTTTATTCCTAAAACCCGCTTAATAATGATATTCTTTTCAAATTAGAACATTTATTTTTAGATTTTTCTGGGAGTTGGGAGGATATGATCCTGGTTTGGAAATCTGGGGAGGAGAACAGTATGAACTCAGCTTTAAGGTATGAAGTAGTAAGACCAAATTCGCCGGAATAATTGCCAGTTCCATAGGGGAGTTGTCAAGTTCATATTTGTAAACATAAATCTGGTTCTACCCGATCGCCAATTAATTGGGGAAACAGGTTGAAGAGGAGTTAATCTGCTGCAAACCAAAATGACTTGGAACTGTTTGGAATGTAAAGAACCCATCAATACCAAGAAGGAAACATCTGTTGGGTGTGGTTTATGTGGGAAATGGGCCCACCAAGTATGCAGCAAGCTAAAGGATGCTGAAGTGACTGCTTTAAACAAGAAGGTTGGACTTCGCTGGTTCTGCACACACTGTGAAGAGCTAGAGAGTACCATTCACAAGAAGCTTAATGAAGTTTATGTTATTGTAGCCGATAACAAGAAGAGAATTGGAGAGGTTGACGAGAAGGTGGTTAAAGTAAATGAGAAAGTTAATGCTGTGGATAGAAAAGCAGAGGCTGCATTAGATAAGGTGGATAAAGTAGCAGACAGAGCTACAACAATGGTTGACATTGTCGACAAGATGGATGACAAAGTTACTAAAGTGGATGAAAAGGTTGACAGATTTGAAGCAATGGTCAAGAAGCTTGAGGAGAAAGTGGAAAACAACAAGAAGGAGGACATCATAGCAGAAAGCAGAGCATCAGTCTTCCTTGAGATAAGGGAGAGAGAAAACAGAAAGGAAAACATTGTTCTCCATGGAATTAAAGAACCAGGAGCAACTGTAACCAGAGGTGGAGATAGAAAAAACTTTGATATTGGAAGCGCTCTTGAAATATTTGAGTACATTGGCTGCAAACTGAAACCTGATGATGTTCGTTTCTGTTTCAGAGCAGGAGAAAAGAGCAAATCTGCTGATGATAATCCCAGACCCCTAATAATCGGACTGCTGGATATTAAACACAGAGAGAATATTCTTGCCAATTCTAGGAAATTAGGAGAGAAGGATTCAAGGTTCTACAAGGTGAGCATTATACCTGATCTCACCCCAATCCAGAGAAAAGAGGAGAGTGACTTGAGAGCAGAGGCTGAAAAGAAAAACTCTCTGATGACAGCTGAAGAGGCATCAAACTACGAGTGGGTACTGGTAGGACAGAGAGGAAAGAGAAAAATTATCAAGAGACAAAAAATGTTCCAGGGACACAACCATGTTCAGACAGCCAGTCAGCAAGGAGAGACAAGGAAACGAGGGCGCCCAGCGGAATCGGAGACTGTCAGTCCCCCATCAACCCGTCCTCACCAGAAGCAAAGATACTAAAGATAATATACCTAAATGCCCGTAGTTTAATTAGTAAACTGGATCACTTAGATGTTTTAATAAATGACGAAAACCCTGATATTATTTTACTCACTGAGACGTGGTGCAATCCAGAAATATCTGATGCTATGCTGTACAAAGAAAACTACTTTATCGAACCTAGTCTACGTATTGACAGAGCTGACACAGCCCATGGGATAGGTGGAGGTCTACTGGTATATGTAAAAAATGGTATGATTATTACATCTGAGCAGGATTTTTCTAAGTTTAACCAATACTGTAAGTTTAGTGTAACTGAAAACACTAGCAACCAGAACCCACTAAATATTTTGCTGATATACAGATCCCCAAACTCATCTGAAGAAAATAATAACCAACTTTGTAACATAATCCAAGAGGTTCCGGAAAATACTATCATAATTGGAGATTTTAACTATCCAAAAATTAACTGGCAAGGAGTCTCCAATGATAGAAAGAGTGAAAATTTTGTTGAATGTGTCCATGCAAAGAATCTTGAACAGATGGTGGAATTCCCTACACATATCAGAGGTAATCTTCTAGATTTAGTCTTAACAAATGCTCCTGAAAATATACTGTCCGTGGAAGGATTAGGGAACCTGGGTAATAGTGATCATACTATTATATGTGTTGAAGTTGATTTTTGTCCAAAATTCATGGAATCAAACGAACTGGTGCTTGACTGGTATAATGGTGACACTGAAGGCTTGAAGGAATTCTACTGTAATATCAACTGGAAGGAAATACTTGAAGAAAATAATGCTGAGGAAGCTTGGGAGGTCCTAAAGACAAAAATTGATGTGGGAATTGAGAAATTTATACCCAAAAAGCAAAGAGCAAGCAGAAATAAACCCCAATGGATGACAAAGAATGTTGTAAAATTGTGCAGAAAAAAGAGAAGATTTTATAACCGTTATCAAAATACTCGTACACAGGATGACTTAGAACAGTTTAAGAATATTGAAAAAGAATGCAAGAAAGCCGTTCGTTCTGCCAAGCGTAAGTTTTGAGCAAAAAATTGCTGAGAGTGGGAACAAAAGACCCTTTTATGCATACCTGAAAAATAAAACAAAAACAAGATCAAATGTGGGTCCACTCAAACTAAACAATGTCCTAACAAGTGATGATGAACAAGTTGCCAAAATACTTAATGAGTATTTCTGCAGTGTTTTCACAAAAGAAGATGAAACTCATATACCAAACTGCAATATTACCCCACCAATTTCAACAATAGAAGATATAGTTATCACTGAGGACATGGTAAAAGATAAAATCAAAAAACTTAAACCTCATAGTGCCAAAGGTCCTGATAGCATCACACCTAGACTATTAATAGACAACATGGACTCACTTGCCATCCCCCTTTGCATCATTTTTCAATCAGGGTTATTGAACCCTGGAATAGATTACCAACTGAACTGAAAGAGAGCAAGACTATAAAATCATTCAAGGATGGATTGGACACTATCATGTAAACCAAAGATGCCATATAGGACCACACTGTAGCTCCTGTTATAATCCTACCTGGATTTCTAGGAGTCAACATAGAATTGTTGTTAAATTGACTGTGACCGTGTTAAGTGAATGATCATGCAAAGAGGGCAATGTCAGATTCACATCTGTTCCCTTTAAACCTTTGTTTGACTGAGCATAGAAGACAAAGATCTTAGTGTTTATCCTTGAAATGTTTTTTTTTAAAGCAGGAAAATTTGAGTTAACGCTAGCGTACTTTGTAAACTCAATGTGACTGACGTGACATTTTTCCCAGGAATATCCAAAATATTCTATATACGACGCGTTTTTCAAAAATTAGTATTCTGTCAACTTGGATCGGTCATAGGTTTAAAGGGTACCATTGTAAATTGGGGATACCCTTCTTTACATGGAAGGTCACTTTAAATTAAGCTAACAGGCCCTTTAATTGTTTTTTTAAATACTATCATTTCCCTCTTCACCCCTTGGATCAGATAAGTTTTGTCTAGTTATGGCAATGCGGAGGAACTATGGTGGATGCTCCTTGTTCTAGAGTTGGTCATATTTACAGGTATTTTTTAATCTCCATATTTCTGACACCTTTAAAAATCGAAAACAGTCCTTTTCTTCGAGTTTTTTTTTTTAATTACTAAATAATGACGACAAGAACTGTAATAAAAATTCTATAGTAAATTAATTAGTTCTTTAGGAACAGGTTGAGAAAATAAAAATTAATCTTATCATCGAAAATAAGTAATCTTGTTTAATTATTATTTTCTATTTTCTCATCATTCTGGTTTCTCATTATTCACAAAGATTTTTTCAAATTTTTTTTGGAATTATTATTGAAAAGACGACATTTGAAGAATTTGAAGAAATCAGCGAATAAATTCAAAGATAATAAGAAATTCAATATAATAATGAAAATGAAACAATTGATTCTAGCATTGATTTATTGACAAATTTCTTTTGAGAAATATGTTCCTAACCATCCAATTAGATTACTGTATAATTTTTGCTTTATTTTTTATCGTCGTTATTTAATTATCTTCAGGGTGGCCAAAATGTACGGATTGTACGGATTGTACGGATTGATTTTTTTAACCCTAAAATTGTACGGATTGTACGGATTTGTTTTCAAATTGTACGGATTGTACGGATTTTTATCCAGGAAAATACACCGTTTTTTTTTAAATTTTCACTCATTTCAGTAAATTTTTCATGAAAATAAAAAAAAGAATCTCGTCAAAATGAAGTTAGTTTCACTTATTTTCTGCATTCTAAATAATATTAGATTGATTAATGTTTCAATTGACAATCAAAATTCATTCATAATTTTCGAGATATGTCCAAGAA